TGACTGTTTGCTGAGTTTATCTTCATTAAATTCCCTTAAAATGACAGAAGGCTGCTACAATATAAACATACAGAGCTGTACACACATCAGACTGGTTGGATATAACTCAATATTCTGCTTTTTTATGAAGGAGACGTCCGGTGACCAGGGCAACTCATAGCCTCATTGAACTTTCCTTTTTGGCAAACGTAGCGTCTCATGTTTCACATGTCAGTAACTCATTCTGTAGGGACTTGGCTTGGGAACTGGAGTCCAGCATGGATCACAGTATGGAGTGAACTGGCAGCTGAAGAGATGCCAGTTCCACCTCCTGTGCTCTGCCGAGGTGCCCTTGAGCAAGGCACCTAACCCCTAACTGCTTCCCCAGGTGCTTACGGCTGCCCACAGCTCCTAATGTATTTAGGATGGGTCAAATGCAGAGGAGAAATTTAGTTTCATGTGTGTAAAATGCTACAAATACATGATGATTACTAAAAGAGCATCAGTCAGAGAGGATTAGGAAGCGTTTTAACCAAATCAGGGTCTTCATTTTGATACAGTATTTAATAATCACAATCAAAATAATAATGACAATGAAAAAATTAAATAAAATCAAGATATCAAAAATCTGATGGGGGATGTGCCCTTCCAGCTTGAATGGGCCTGACTTGACTGTCTTGAAGGTACATGGTAAAAATATTACACATCTAAAACACAAGATGGCACCAGTGCCTCGATGACGTCAGATTCATTCAATATATACTTTTGATAGGTACTGATTACTCCAGAGGGAACACCCCACAGAGCTGCAGTTTTGGAGATGCTCTGACCCAGTCGTCTAGCCATCACAATGTGGCCCTTGTCAAAGTCGCTCAAATCCTCACGCTGCCCATTTTTCCTGCTTCTAACACATCAACTTTGAGGACTATTTACATTAAGAACCAGTGTGTAGATTTAGTGGTGATGAACTTGAATCTGAACAAATGATTGTTCTCAGTGGTCTTGCATCCTTTGTCCACTGCAATGCCAGCAATATTACATTTCTTCTGTTCGAACTGATAATTCAACACTGATGTTTTTCCATATTTTCAGATGAAACTTTGGAACAATAAATACAATCCCTATTTCATTAACTAGAGTTGTGGGTGCATAATAGATCTGGATGCAACTTTTAGGACATATGCCTGTATGGTATGGCATTAAAAATAAACTCCCTATCCATGTTTCTTATTTCTTATAATGTAAAATCAACTGTGGTATCAGGAAGTATCACGAATGCAATACTGTTGGACTAATGTTTAACTGAGCTTTTGGAGCTCTGTTGCTTTTCGTCTCTCTGTCCATCCAAAGCTTTTTGTCTTCCTCCTTTTCCCAACAAGGTTTTAAAGTATCGTGCGTTGGGTGATCTTCACTATGGTAAGTTAACCCAGTAATTAAATGATAATTGTATCCTTCTCAATTTTAGTGGCATTCATCCCATTTTCACTGTAAAGTAGGGTTTGTTTTTAATAAACCTATGCATAAACTCATATAACAAGTTAACATTTCATTGATCATTTTCTTCATGATGTTGAATGTTAAAGCAATTGGTCAATAATTTCAGGTTTGCATATTGGAAATATAACAGACTCCTTCCAGCTTTGTGGCACTTTCCCACCCTCCCAAACTTTATTATAGTTCCAGTAATATATTATTGGATGATTCATTGAGATGGTTTATCATTATATAACATATCTGAACCTTTCTTAGTGCTGATATGTTGGTTTTCTTGACAGAGTGGTTCAGTTCAATGAAACTGAGGCTGAGTCCTTGCTGCAGCGGCCATGGGTTCGGGTCTGAACTGTGGCCCTTTGCTTTGTGTCATTCCCCCCTCTCTCTCTGTCTACCTCCTCCCTTGCTGTTACTATCCCTTAAATGCAATAACCCCCCCCTGCAAAAAAAGTGACTTAGTCAAGATGAGCGTTGTCCCACTTCCACTTAGTTTGCTTTAATTACTTTCATACCAGAACATCATGAAGATCCTGAACAGAGATATAGATGTTAAAATGACTGAATATCAAACAATAACAGGTGATACAAAAATAACAGTGAACACTAAAACAGAGTTCATCAAGAAAAACACAATATAAACATATGATGAATTTATAGAATATGATGTGATGCATTGCTGTAGATTAAACTAGCCAACATAATATAAAAGGGTTAAAATGAGCACAACCTGAAATATCTACAGCAGTAAAAAGCATCACACACATTAATGAAGCAGTTATGTAATTCACAAATATAATAAAATATAATAGTTAAACACTGACAGAGACAATTTTACTGTATAATGTATTACCTTTGAAGTATATGTTGCTGATAATATTTATGCTTATACTGAAGTAGGGTGTGAATGCAGGACTCTTATAGGAGTATTTGCACACTGTGGTATTATTACTTGGACTGAAGTCAAAGATTGTCTTTCTCCACTGGTTTTTGCTTCTGCTTTTCACATTGTACTACTAGTTAACCTACTACTCCTCCTTCTGGACAAAAAGATAGAAAAGGATCATCTGATAAAACATGTTAGAATGTTAAAATTACTGCATATCAAACAATAACAGGTGATGCAGACATAACACTACCTTAACAATACATCTTTAACTACAGCCCAGCAAGTTCATTAAGTAAAATGTACCATTTATTATATTTACAATTCAAGCAGACATACAATGTTGTGTTACTGTGCTACTAGTTAACCTACTACTCCCCCTTCTGGACAAAAAGGCTCATTACAGCAATAAATCCTGAAAATGATCATCTAATACAGAAACACAGTCAAACATTTATCAGCATCAGTTATCAATGTAAAGTAAGTATGATGATATGAGCTGTAACTATACTGTGGTCTCCTATTTGTTTGGTTTGTTGACGGTGGCGTAGAGGTTGCTGGGATCAGCAGAGGCTCCAGCAGAAGAAGAGGAAGCTTTCACAGTGACGTAGGTCACTGCTTCATCATCATCTTCATCATCATCACCTATACCCCGAACCTGGAGAACAAGACACAAACAGCACAACACATAAATTACACAGCATTAAATGATACAGAATAATGCCACATTATGATATCCAGCACCACATAAATGAGATTTGTTTGTACATGTCCTGAATACCTCTGGTCCGTAGTTGTTGAGATATTTAGTTCTGGACCAAAGTGTTGGACACACTGACTTCACAATCCTTCCATGTAGACCTGAGCTTTAATGGTAAAATAAAGAATCTTTCCTGTTTTTATTACCTGAGAAGTGTTTTCATTCACTACCATCATCACTATAACCAAACAGACAGCTTACCCGGCCTTTACTGTTGGTCTTCTTGGTGAAGCTGATGGAGGCGTAGGAAACACCATCTTCAGGATCAGCCTACACAGAGAAGACAACATCATGGCTGCTCAGTAACATGTGGATTCATACTGACTCACACTTCTAACTTTATTCCATTCTGTTTTATCACAGTCAGCATTTTAAATTGACTTCTGCCAAAGAGGTCATGTTATGTTTCTTTAAAATAATGTCTCAAAATGTTGTACAGTGGTTTATTTGTGGTGGTTTGACCTCTGACCTCTGGTTTGACACTCATGTTCTCTTCTGCTGTAGTCCAGTTGCATCATCTAACTTCCCTTTTTATCTTTACTGCACATTCTCACACTCTCAGTACTGTACAAAATGTAAAATACAGTTCTATTTCAGAGAGTGTAACTTTGTACTGGGTGTAGTATGTGATCTCACCGTGTCCTGACTGGTTTCTGGAGCAGACTGAGTCACTGCAGGGTTTGAGGTCAGTCCCTGGACAAACACAAGAAGCATCTTACAGTTCAGTTGATGCACATGTTGTCAGGGTACAATACAAACAGCTCCTGTACAATGTGTGCAGTATATCTGTGCAGGATTCAGGTACAGGTAGTGTGATGGGAGTGTCAGAACATCTTCAGATCTGCAACTTCAGTCCAGTGGATGAATTCAATTTGACTTGAGATGCAATCCAACACAACCAGCACAAATACTGTCTCTATAAAGCTTATAATGTTCAGTTTGTGTTGACAGTGTGTCAGAGAGGAGTTGATTCAACTCTGTTGTCATTGCCTTGACCTTTGCTGCTGCAACCACAACACAGTCAGTACTGTTTATCTTATCTTATCCTATCTCAGAATGAAAATGTAGTGTGAATAACTTACAACATTGTCATTCATCCGTGTTTTCTTCCCTAAAAAGACAAAAAAGAGTCGACTTTAGTTCCCAAAGAGAAAATCCAGTTTCATTAAAGCTTCTTGTTTATGAAAGTTTATTCTGTGCTCTCACCTTTAGTTCTCTTCCATCTGATGACTTTCACAACTATTATTAAAAGTGCTGCTAAAACCACAGCCACAATGAGGAACACCCACCACCAACCTGGGAAGATATTGAAAATATTTGAAGCCTTTTGGCTGCAGGTTCCAGTTCATTAAAAATAATTTAGCTAAAAGTGAAGACAATTTCATTTTAAATATGACTAAACTCAGTTGATAGTTTTAATGGATTTAACACTTTGAGTGTAACAACTGCATCGATTAAGAACATTTTCTTTAACTACTTTCATAAAACAAACATTAAAACACCACTGAACTCAAGGTCCTTTTATAGTTCTTCCCAGAGCTTTCAACCGTAGTTTGAGGCATGTTGTTAAAAGCATAATGAGAAGGATTTTTCTTAAAAACAATGTACAGACTTATGTAAACATATATAATAATATATATCTAAGAGGAAGCTACAGCGTGAACTTCTGTTGAACCGGGGAGGAGGGGCCAACTTTGATATACTATATATAACAATACTCATTCTGTGAGAGAGAGACAGAGAGAGAGAGAGAGAGAGAGAGAGAGAGAGAGAGAGAGAGAGAGAGAGAGTCTGACACTGAGAATATCTCCACCCACAGAGTCTGATAAAGCAAGAGAAAGAGAGAGAGAGAGAGAGTGCACAAGAGAGAAAATATTGAGTCATTACCTTTTAGTTCTGTTGAAGCATTATCAGTTGTTGTTGTTGTTGTTGTTGTTGTGTCCTCACCTGAACAGATAAACAAAACTCAACAAACTGTTCAAAACTTGTGTTGGGATGTTAAATAAAACTTCAAATATGTAAAATAAAAAGAACATATGTTTTAGGTAATTATTACGGAAGCCCTAAAGGGCCATGTATTCATACATTTTATTTCCTCAGTTTTCCCGTGACAACGAGTTGATTAATTTGAGATCTCGAGATAACGACTGTGATATGATAACTGCGGTCAAGCCAGCCGTTACTCCGATCTCCGTGGTCAAATCAGTCGCACTTAAATTTACAGCGTATTCACTTCCGGTTTTCAAAATAAAGGTTTTAAGAACAGTAAGCTATAATTCGAACCAACATTTAAAATAAAATATGTTACATTAAAGTGTTTCATGCGCCCATGATGAATAAAAAACATACTTAATATCAAGCATTTTACTGCAACAATGTGGAGGAATGCCAAAACAAAAATTCCATATTTGTACCTCCAAGTGGCGTCTTTTCTCATGAGGTACTGTAAAAACACATTGCTCAATAATTCCTGGCTATGGATGGTATATTTGACTTCTACACACAAAAGAATACAAGTATACTTAATATCAAACATTTTTACTGCACCAATTTGGAGAAATTCAACAATAAAATTCCACATTTGTACCTGCTTTCACTGTACCTCAAATTAATTAACTCGTTATCACAGGAAAACGGAGGAAATAAAATGTATGAATACATGGCCCTTTAGGGCTTCCGTAAATTATTAACATTAGTTTGAAAATATTCTCACCTGGTTTCTCAGCTGAGGGCTGAAGTCTGAAGGGAAACTGCTGCTCTTTGTTACCATCAGTCACTGCACACTTCAATGAGTTAGAGTTTGATGTGTCAATGAAATGAGAAGTCTTAAAGGTCACAGAGACATTGCAGGGAGACTGTGATGTCTTCACTTCTTGGTTATCTTTATCCAGATCTTGACCCTCATTCAGCCACTTCACTGTGTGTGTACATCGTTCATATGTCGACACAGAGCAGCTTAATGTCACCTTATCAGAGTCCTTATGTTCAGTCACTGGTGAAGATGGAGATATTGTGAGAGAAAGACAACAAGAGTAAAATTAACTTCATCACTATAATCATAATTATTGTAATGTTTCAGTATTTTGTTCTAACAAGACAGTTTGAGCTGAAAACATTATGATGTAAATACTCACTGGTAATAACAGACAGATAAACCACAGAGTCTGGACCTTGTTGTTGTTCTGATATAAACTGTCTGCAGGTGTAACGACCAACATCCTCGACTGTGACCTTCTTTATAACCAGAGAACACTTCGCTGTAACATTCAGTCTGTCTGATTTAGAGTTGGTGTCTTTGTTCCGTCCAAGTTCAAAGAGCTCTACTGCTGCTGTGTTTCCTGAAGCACTGAACAGCCATGTAGTATATTCACATCTTTGCTGACCATCAATCACATTATCACAAGGCAAAGTGACGTCACCTCCAACTCTGACAGAGAGGAGTTTTTCAGCTGCTGCTGTTCAAAAGAGAGAAAAACTAAAATGTTATGTTATGTTAATAGCTAGTGTAAAAATTATTTCTTTGTCCATTTTAAAAAAGTAAAATTAAGGTAATAAAGTTTCTTTTATAATATCGATATAGCTATTTATATATGTGATATATGTATTCTTACCTGTAAAGTGAAGCAGCGCTATCAGAAATAAAGACATTTGAATCCATTTGAACTCAACCATCGTGATTCTCTGTCTCTCTCTCCTTCTTCTATCTCTTGTTCTCATGCTCATAACTGTGTGAGTTTATAAAGTAGTGCTTCAGTAGAGAGACGCTGCATCTACTTCCTGTGGTTAGTATGATATCACTTCCTTATAGTGACTTTTAGTCTGATTTAGATTCCTAAATTTCTCTTTCTCTCATTCTTCTAGATGTTCAAAAAGCAAAAAAAGTTTCAACTTAAATGTTTAAAATTTAATTTGCTCACAGAGAAGAGGAGTATATTTCTGCAGTCATCCAATCTAACACTGTAACAAACAAACTGTATTAAGACTCATACTGAGTCTCAAGTTCACACTGTGTCCAGTCCCACGGTGTATTTGTGACAATGACGTGTTTCACCTCCTTGAGAAGAAGAAGAAGAAGAAGAAGAAGAAGAAGAAGAGGAAGTTTAATGTGTGAAGATTGTTAGTTAAGATAAATGTTTGCAATGATGCATCTTGTTTTATTTAGATAGTGTTTATTAGCAAACAGACAGGAGTCATGATGATGTTTGACAGCACACATGAACAGACAGGTGAAGAGTCAAACTCCTCGTCCACCAGAGTTTGACTCTTGATGTCCATGGTGCAACATAGTGATACTGTAGCAGCTGGGAAAGAAAACAGATAATATTTTATTTAAGATGTGAGAGTCATTTTGGTTTGCCACCATTGTTTTGTGTAAGAAAAGGAAGTATTTTCATGAGAATGTGGTTAACAACAGCAGCAGAGCTCTGGTGGTTCAACCCTCTAATGATGACCAGATAAACATCAGAAATACACGAGGCTCACAGAAACAGACAGTCCACAATTTAATGTATTAGCACATAAGACAAAGAGACACTTTGAATTCTGTTCAGTAATACTTTAACCCCTGGAAGGTTTGAAGTCACAGACACTAGTTACAGCAGTTAAACATTGATGAGCGTCCTGATTGAACTGTCTTTAACTGTCAGTACATGGAGCTTCAGGCCTCCACAATATGTAGTAGCAGGCTGGTTCATGTTGTTTTTAAAAGAAATGGTCTGACATGAAGACACATGTTGTTCTTCACTGTTAAATGATGAATGACACTGTATAGACAGTGGTGGCTGAGTTTGTTTGACATCACTCCACCTGTGGTTTGGAGGTTTCTCATGCTATATGCTCAAGTTTGACATGTGAAATGTATTTACATTGTCTTTAGGTCAGAGTAGGTGATCATGTGCATCCAAAATCTCTGAAAGAAGCCTGAGTTATTAGATTTCTGTGTATTCTCAGGTCACATTTATATCAGTATTAGGGCATATTTTAGTGTACAGTGAGAACAGAGCTGTTCAACCCAACAGAGGGAAAGTTTTCTACTCGGAGAGGCAAGACATTAATCGTAAAGAATATTCACTCTCCATTATGACACTGTCAGTGCAGGAAGGAATTAAAAACACATTGTAGAATTAAACATTTCTTTATTTACAGATGATATTGTTAACATATATGAGAGACAGAAGACTGTCACTGACTTTACTGTAAAATAAACATGAAATCGAGCCGCTATGTCATGAATGGCTACAGAAAATAAAGATTTTCACAAGTGATGGAGGAAAAGAAATTTTATGAAACTCACAGTTGGCTTCCTGATATTAGATGAATTGAAGACTGGAAGTCAGGCTGAAATTGAAATGGCTCAGCACACAAACATTTCTCACCTTAGCAAATAAAAACAATCAGTTGCTCAAAACTGGTCTTGTTTTTAGCTGAAGACTTCAACTACCAGTGGAAATGTGATGTTATTTAGCTGCAGTGAGTCTTTTATCTGATGAGTTGGTGTCGATAAGGACGTTGTTGTCTGACAGAGGCAGAAGTTTCTCCAAAGTGTTCATGTTGCACCACAGCATCATCTTCCTCTTCATCATGATACACCTGTGAAACATAACACAAGCAAACCATCACTCTGACACCCTTTAAAGTCCTCCTCCACTCAAAAGCATGTTTTTCTTCTTCCCACAGTTGGCTGGTTGAGCAGAATGATGTATGTGCAGAGTTTGACTCTAGAAGGATATTTTCACATTCATCTGCTGAAAGTCGAAGTTTCTGGAAGTGTTCATTGAATAGAAGTTTTAAGGGGAGGGGTCTATGAGGATAATTTGTGACATCATAAATAGATTAACATAAGGAAATAAGAAATGATCTGACTACACTTGAACTCACCATCAGTTGCAGTCAGATCTTTTTTGTACCTGACTGGCTGCTGAGCCCTAACAGCTTCTTACTGCAGTGTTTCCCCTGTATTGAGCAGTGCACTGCCGCGGCAAAATTATGGGTGCCGCCCCTAAAATTTCACGCAGTCATTCTACTAATGATCTACTAATAATTTTCACTCCAACGATAAACAACAAACGCCCTCTCCTCATTCACCAAAGGAGATGTGTGTGAAAGGTACTGTTATAAGAGGGATAGAGCAGTGCCTGATGTGTGTGTGGGAGAAAAAAACAAGACAGCGATCAGCAAAAAAATGTGACAGTGAACTCGAGCATGGGAAAAATCTGGCAATAAATATAGAGTATACAGTGTGTCAGTCAATAATAGACCAAGGACAGTCTCCCTGTTGTTTCCCAACTACTGGAAAAGTGAATGGACTTAACCCTGGCAAACATCTCCCTTGTCCCTCATACTACGGTCTGGAAGCAGAGCAGGAAGGGCATTATGTTTTTTTGGCTGCTATGTAACATTGCCTTAGTTTTATGTGATTAATACCTACACTACCACAAATTTTCAAAATCTTCCACAAATCTAGTGAAAAATTATTCTCAACTCACAGTGATGTCATCAGGTGGTCTCTGGTTCCCTGGAAAATAAAGCACAGAGTAACATTTCAGCTCTAAACTTACAGTTTGTGTTAATCAGTGTAAACAAATGTTGGTCTGAATATTCTCACCTCGAGCTCTGATGAGAAGAACAGTAATCACAGTAATTAGGAGGAGTTCAGCCACACGCATAACCAACATTATGTAGTTCAGAACAGAACAATCTGTACGAGCTGTGCAACAGAAACATAATGTCAGTGAAGAAGGTTATTGTCAACAAATCAGAAGCACAACACATGTTAAACCGTGTCAGTGATGCAGATCTACTTTGGTCCAGACTGAAATATCTCAACAACTATTGGACGGAGTGTCATTCAAACTCGTGCAATCAATCATGATCCTCTGAGGATGAAGCACACTGACTTGGTGATGCTCTACATCTGTTTGCCATTAAAGTTCCTCAAGACGTTCATTCGATGATCCCTGAATTTTCATGTAGCGGCATTATGGTAAATGGTAGATGGACTGTACTTGTATTGCCCCTTTCTAGTTTTCTGACCACTCAAAGTGCTTTTAAACAACATGCCACATTCACCCATTCACAAACATCCACACAGAGAGAGAGAGAGACAGAGAGAGAGAGAGAGAGGTTGTAGAATTGTAGAGACAGAGAGTCACTACCTTTTATTTCTGTTGAAGTGTCATTGATTGCAGACTCTGTTGTGTTGGTTCCTGCTTTTATGCTCTTTTTAATTGTTGTTGGTTCTGTTGTTGCTGTTGTTACTGTGTCCTCACCTGAACAGATGTACACAATTCAACAAACAGTTCAAAACTTGTGTTGTGATGTGATATTAAAACTTCAAATTTTTAGTTAAGTATTGTCGTTAGTTATTTTAAACAGCTTAACATATTCTCAAATGATTTCTCACCTGAGGGCTGAAGTCCGAAGCGAAACAGCTGCACTATCCCAGAGTAATCATCAGTCACTGCACATGTCAGTAAGTTATAGTTCGATGTGTAAATGTAATGAGAAGTCTGAAAGGTAACAGAAGCATAGCAGGTAGATTCCGTAGTATTCACATGTTGACCCTCATGCAGCCACTTCACTGTGTGTGTACATGGTTCAAATGTCGACACAGAGCAGTTTAATGTCACGTTATCAGCGTCCTTATGTTCAGTCACTGGTGAAGATGGAGATATTGTGAGAGAAAGACAACAAGAATAAAATGAACTTCATCACTATAATCATAATTATTGTAATGTTTCAGTATTTTGTTCTAACAAGACAGTTTGAGCTGAAAACATTATGATGTAAATACTCACTGGTAATAACAGACAGATAAACCAGAGAGTCTGGACCTTGTTGTTGTCCTGATATAAACTGTCTGCAGACGTAACGACCAACATCCTCGACTGTGACCTTTTTTATAACCAGAGAACAGTTCGCTGTAACACTCAGTCTGTCTGATTTAGTTTTGAATTTTTCATCAATCTCTCCAAGTTCAAACAGCTCTACTGTTGTGTTTTCTGAATCACTGAACAGCCATGTAGTATATTCACAGTTTTGCTGACCGTCTGTCACATTTTCACAACTCAAAGTGACTTCATCTCCAACTCTGATGATGAAGGAGGGGGGATCGTTTTCATCTGCTCCTGTTAAGGAGATGAGATAAGATCATTAAAAATAAAGTCAAATGAGAAAATATCTGTCATGTTCATAGGTGTGACGATTATTTCTTTATCCTTGTTTCCAATAGTTTACCAGAACTTACCATGTTAGAAACAAACAACAGATCTGTTTTCGTAGTTAAATCAAATGTAAACAATAAAGTATCTTCAGTGATATTTATGAAGGTATATGTGGTATATGTGATATATGTATTCTTACCTGTAAAGTGAAGCAGCGCTATCAGAAATAAAGACATTTGAATCCATTTGAACTCAACCATCGTGATTCTCTGTCTCTCTCTCCTTCTTCTATCTCTTGTTCTCATGCTCATAACTGTGTGAGTTTATAAAGTAGTGCTTCAGTAGAGAGACGCTCCATCTACTTCCTGTGGTTAGTTTGATGTCACTTCCTTATAGTGACTTTTAGTCTGATTTAGATTTTCTTCTCTCTGAATTACTTGTTATGTTCAAACAACAAAAAACTTTGTTGCATATTTCACTTTTCTCATCCACAGTGACTGAATTCTTGATCAGCATTAAGAGATGCAGCCATCCGTATAGATATCAAAGGTCAGAGGTCACAGCAGCCTGACAAATATCCTGTGAAACTAGAACGAGGGTGTAAAGAAAACAAAGTCGATGATTACAAGGCAATTAAATATCTTTCTTCAATTATTCAGCCAATCGAACACTATAACCAATAAACTATATTAAGACTCATACTGACTCTCATGTTCACACTGTGTCCAGTCCCACGGTGTATTTGTGACAATGACGTGATTCACCTCCTGCGAAGAGGAAGAAGTCGAAATTGAACATGTAAAGATTGTTAATGTTTGCAATGATGCATCTTGTTTTATTTAGTGTTTATTAGCAAACAGACAGGAGTCATGATGATGTTTAACAGCACACATGAACAGACAGGTAAAGAGTCAAACTCCTCGTCCACCAGAGTTTGATTCTATGATGTCCATGGGTTCTCTGTCTTTCTCTCCTTCTATCTCTTGTTCTCACGCTCATGAGTTTATAAAGTAGTGCTTCAGTAGAGAGATGCTGCATCTACTTCCTGTGGTTAGTATGATATCACTTCTTTATAGTGACTTTTAGTCTGATTTAGATTCCTAAATTTCTCTTTTTCTCATTCTTCTAGATGTTCAAAAAGCAAAAAAAGTTACAAGTTTCAACTTAAATGTTTAAAATTAAAATTTCTCTCAGAGAAGAGGAGGTATATTTCTGCATTCATCCAATCTAACACTGAAACAAACAAACTATATTAAGACTCATACTGAGTCTCAAGTTCACACTGTGTCCAGTCCCACGGTGTATTTGTGACAATGACGTGTTTCACCTCCTGAGAAGAAGAAGAAGAGGAAGTTTAATGTGTGAAGATTGTTAGTTAAGATAAATGTTTGCAATGGAGCATCTTGTTTTATTTAGATGTTTATTAGCAAACAGACAGGAGTCATGGTGATGTTTGACAGCACACATGAACAGAAGAGTCAAACTCCTCGTCCACCAGAGTTTGACTCTTTGATGTCCATGGTGCAATATGCAGCTGGGAAAGAAGACAGATAAGATAGGTAGGAAAGGTATTTCAGACGTGTGCGTCATTTGGTTAGTGGTCGCTGTTTGTGTGAACTAAAGGTGAAATGTTTTGATGAGAATGTGGTTGCAGTAACAGCAGAGCTCCCGAGGTGTGACGATGATCACATAGTATCAGAAACACCAATGGTTAACACGTTGCTGAGTTTCTGACAGAACAGTCTTTAAATGACTTGAGGTAGAGCATCAAACCTCCACAGTCACATTGGGCAGAAATATATTACCTGGTCTGTTCACTTTGTTCTCAAATGAAAAAGTTTGTCACAGGTGTTCACACATTCTGTTTGGTCACACAACTAGAAAAGTGGACTGTGGTAGCTGTGGCTGTTTTCTGAGTTGGTTTGATGTCACCACTTCAGCTGCAGTTCAGGATGTTCCTCGTGCTGTACTTTATGCACACTGAAGAGGCCAGTCACTTAAGACTGTCTGAGATCGGAGGTCATGTCTGAGGTCATGTACATCCACCATGAGCACTCCTAAAAGGACATTGACAGATTTGATTCCTGTCTATTTTGATGTCATTTCATTACAGGCCTACAAACAGGATGATGGCATCCGAACACACAATTACTAACAATTCATTAATAATCATTCATCATCAGCGGCACAGCAGCCAAAAGTTATCACAGACACAGATTACAGTAAGTGTTTTCTAACATTTGAGAGGTCATTAAATTAAATCCCTGATCCCACTCCATAACAAGGAGACAGCTCTACTAATTCCTACATAATTATCAGCCAGTAAATTAAAGGGTTAACAGTTTTCTCTCATCCACAGTGACTGACAGCAACACAGATTCTTAATATGAGCTGCAGCCATCAGTAAATATGTCAGAGGTCAGAGGTCACAGCAGCGTGTAAAGAAAACAAAGTCACTGACTACAAGGCAAAGGAAGGAACTGGAAAAATGAACTGCGCTCAGTCCCACGGCGTATTTGTATGTTTTAGAAGTCATTTTAAGATTTCACTGATTACTCTTAAGGCCCTTCATGGCCTCTGTTCCCGCTAGCTACATTAGCACCGTACACGCCGTCTCGGGCAGAGGTCGGAGGTGTTTTATCTGTTTCCCTCTGGGCGGGAACGCCTGCCTGAGGAAATCAGGTCAGCTGAGTCGCTGATCTCCTTTAAGTCCCTTCTTAAAACAGAATTTTATCCGTGAGTGTTCGTGTGTATGGCAGCTACTTTTGTTTTCCACAACAGAAATACATTTATTGGACACAATTGAGGGTCGCTCTAAAATCAACATGGATAACCACCTTTTATTGTAAAAGACATGATACATGAATTCATTACAACATGTGTATAAGTGACACTAACTCCATTAAGAATCAAAGCTCATTCAAACCTTTATTCTGTAAAATTAGTAAAAAACATATTGGACACTGGAAACCAGAAATTCAAAGTCAATAATTTAACAAAGACCTCATCTGAAACCTTAAAATAAAACTAGGATTCATGGTCTGAGGTAAAATAATGCTGTGAATAAACCTTTAACAGCAGTGGATGTTGGTGTGGAAGTTGTTGAGTCTGACAGAAGCAGAAGGCTTTCCAACGTTTTCATAGTTCACTGTGCCATCATGTCCATCTTCATCACGATGCACCTGTGAAACACAGCAACACACTTCAGTTTAACTGGAACAAATAAATGTTTTCAGTTCATGAATTTTGTCATAATCCCCCAAACTGCCAGATTTTCCTCCAGTTACTGTCTGATCTGATCTTTACCTGACTGGCTGCTGCACCTGAACGCCTCACTGCTCGGCTTCCTTCTGAGTTTAAAACCTGCACAAACACAAACAGTGAGACATTCACAGTCCTGCATTACAGTAACATGAACAGTTCCCAGCAGCAGCTTATCATCATTTGCACTGACGTACAGTCTCTGATCATTCATATATATTTTTATTGTTACACATGGGTTCACTTCAGTTTTTATTCTCAACTCACAGTGCTGTCATCAGGTGGTCTCTGGTTCCCTGGAAAATAAAGCACAGAGTAACATTTCAGCTCTAAACTTACAGTTTGTGTTAATCAGTGTAAACAAATGTTGGTCTGAATGTTCTCACCTCGAGCTCTGATGAGAAGAACAGTAATCACAGTAATTAGGAGGAGTTCAGCCACACGCATAACCAACATTATGTAGTTCAGAACAGACCAATCTGTACGAGCTGTGCAACAGAAAAAGGGAAAGGGAAGAAAATTAATATAAAATAATCAGAAGCACAACACGTGTTTATCCATGACGAGGCTCTGGAGATGACAGTTTCTGTCAGTCAGTCCACCACTTTGGTCCAGACTTAAACATCTTAACAACTATAGGATGGACTGTCCTCTGAGGATGAAGCAAACTGACTTTGTTGTTGAGATTTAGAGATATAGTTGCTGATGTAAACATGGTTTGTTAATCCTATCTACAGCATTTGTGCATATACAGTACATTACATTCAGAACTCTTAGAGTTGTTTTATGTTGAATACATATGAGTAAATGTCTTTGTTTCTCACTTTCTGCTGTTGTTGTTGAAGATGTTGTTGATGTTGTTGTTGTTGTTGTTGTTGTTGATGATGTTGTTGTTGTCGATGCTGTTGTTGATATATATGTGGATCTGGTTGTTGCTGCATACATATCCTTACCTGACAAGTTAAACAAAAAACAACAAACTGTAAATTGAGGGATTTAATAATTTCAAGTGATTATAAATAACTGATATTCTCGCCTGGTTTCTGACCTGAGGACTGAAGGCTGAAGGTAAACTGCTGCTCTGGTTGAACAAAAGATCAGTCACTTTACACTTAAGATGCTCTGACTTCAGGTTAAGATCAGAAGTAGGGAATGTCACAGTAACTGAGCACTTATGCTCTGATGTGTCACTGTCTTCATTATCTTTATCCAGATCTTTACCCTGATTCAGCCACTTCACTCTGTGTTCACACCTTCTGTCAGTCAACACAGAGCAGCCTAATGTCACATTTTTAGAGTCCTTATGTTCAGTCACTGGTGAAGATGGAGATATTGTGAGAGAAAGACAACATGTAATGGGCGTGAGATTGGACCCAAGAACAGCACAGACTGAGACCAGCGTTGGCAAAGTTCGACAGTTTATTGACCAAGCAGGGTCGTAAAATCCACAGCAAGTACACAGGAACAATCCACAAAGCAAAACAGTCTGACTTTCTAGTTGAGATCTCCAGGGAGGGAATCCAACCAAACTGGAGACAGACGAGGGGTGAGCAGGCAGAGGGGTCAGGGACAGAAGGGCAGTTCAGGTTACCTGGGCAGGGACGACGAGGACGGGTCAAGGACAAGTAGGGTCGAAACCAAGGAAGCAATCCGGAAAATACTGCGAGAGAGCTTTGCATGCTGCTAAAGACAATCTGGCAGAGACTGAGTGAACAGAGTGGGTTTAAACCAGGTGAGGGAACACAGGTGAAGGTGGTTGCACTGATGAGGTGAGAGTGGCAGGCAGGTGAACAGGAAAAGTACTGGCAGAACTGGCAGTAGGACGGAAAGCCAGGAACGGATCATGACAGTACCCCCCGGCAAGGGACGACCCCAGGCGTACCAGCCCGAGCTGGGAGGGTGGAGGGGGCCTGGAGGAGGGCTAAAATTCCTCAGAGGCAGCAGAGTCCACGTCCTCTGCAGCAGAAGAGGAAGATGAGCAGGAAGAGGCAGCCACATCGGTGCCCCCCCCGACCAGAGGATCAGAAGGTCCATCAGCAGATGGGCCCGCAGAAGGCGGAAGTGAGGACGGGGCAGGCTGGTCAGGATGCCGACGGTCAAAGTCAAAAATAAGCGAAGGATCCACAATGAACCGAGCCGGCACCCAGGAACGCTCCTCCGGCCCGTACCCCTCCCAATCCAAAAGATACTGCATCCCACGTCCACGGCGGCTCGAGCGAAGGAGGCGCCTGACAGCATACACCGGACCGCCATCAACGAGCTGAGGAGGCGGAGGAGGCGGCATGGGAGGAACCAGAGGACTCTCTCGGACTGGCTTGATCCTGGAGACATGGAACGTCGGGTGAATCTTCATGGACCGGGGAAGCCGAAGACGTACCGCCTCAGGGTTGATGATGCGAGCAATGGGAAAGGGCCCAACAAACCTGGGAGCCAGCTTGCGGTTCTCCACCTTTAGGGGCAAGTCAAGGGAGGAGAGCCAGACCCTCTGGCCAACCTGGTAGGCGGGAGCAGGCGTGCGGGGCTTGTTGGCGGCAGCAGCGTAGCGGTCAGCAGACCTGAGGAGAGCAGTACGTGCCTGGTCCCAGGTGCGCCGGCAACGGTGAACAAAGGCTTGTGCCGATGGGCAGGCAGTCTCCCTCTCTTGGTTGGCAAACAGTGGAGGCTGATAGCCATAGGCGCACTTGAAGGGAGAAAGTCCAGTAGAAGAGCAGGTGAGGGTGTTGTGGGCATATTCTACCCAGATCAGTTGTTCAGACCAGGAAGCAGGGTTGTGGTTGATCAAGCAGCGAAGAGTGGTTTCCAGGTCCTGGTTCATTCTCTCTGTCTGCCCATTGGACTGGGGGTGGAAGCCAGAAGACAGACTGACAGAGGCCCCAACTAGACTGCAGAACTCCTTCCAGAACATGGATGTGAACTGGGGCCCCGGTCGGAGACAATGTCAGTGGGCAGTCCATGGAGACGAAAGATGTTCTGGAGAACCAGTTCAGGTGTCTCTTTGGCAGAGGGAAGCTTGGAAAGGGGAATGAAGTGGACCATCTTGCTGAAACGGTCGACAACTGTGAGGATGGCAGTGTGACCTTTGGAAGTAGGTAGGCCAGTTACAAAGTCCAGGGAGATGTGTGACCATGGGCGATGAGGAACAGGCAATGGGTGCAGGAAGCCGGCTGGTGGACGACGAGAGGTCTTGTTCTGGTTGCACACAGGACAGGCGTTGACATAGCCTCGGATGTCCTCCTCCATTGAGGACCACCAGAAGCGCTGCTGCAGGAAGTCTCGGGTCCGCTGAATGCCGGGGTGGCAGGTGAGCCGGGAAGCATGCCCCCACTGGAGCACATCGGAGCGGAGGTGAGCCGGAACAAACAAACGGTCAGGGGGGACAGGAACTAGGACCAGGCTGGTCCTCAGTGGCGGCCCGCACCCTCTCCTCTATCTCCCAAGTGACAGAAGCAACGAGACAGGAGGCTGGGACGATGGTGGAGGGCTCAACCGTTTCATCAGGACACTCAGGAAACTGCCGGGAAAGTGCATCTGGTTTGATGTTACGAGACCCGGGTCGATAGGACAGTGTGAAGTTAAACCTGTCAAAGAACAGTGACCAGCGGGCCTGTCTGGAATTCAGTCTCTTGGCAGATCGAATATATTCCAGGTTGCGATGATCAGTCCACACAATGAATGGCACCTTAGCTCCCCTCTAGCCAGTGGCGCCATTCCTCCAAGGCCAGTTTCACCGCCAGAAGCTCCCTGTTACCAATATCATAGTTCCTTTCCGCGGGAGTTAGGCGGCGAGAGAAAAAGGCACAGGGGTGGACCTTCTGGTCGACGGTGGATCGCTGTGACAGAACCGCCCCCACCCCCACGCTGGATGCGTCCGCCTCCACAATGAACTGGCGATCAGGGTCGGGGATCTGGAGGATGGGAGCAGTGGAAAAGCGAGTCTTGAGGGTGTCAAAGGCGCCTTGTGCTTCGTCAGTCCAGCGGAAGGATGTCTTGGATGAGGTGAGGGCTGAGAGGGGAGAAGCAATGGAGCTGAAACCTCTGATGAAACGCCGGTAGAAATTGGCAAACCCCAGGAAACGCTGCAGTTGCTTGCGTGTCTCCGGAACTGGCCAGGAGGTCACTGCAGAGACCTTAGCTGGATCCATCTGCAAGCAGTCCTTGGCAATGATGTATCCCAGGAAGGAGACTGAGGGTACATGAAATTCACATTTCTCTGTCTTGACATACAGGGAATTGTCCAGGAGGCGGCGGAGGACAGATCTGACATGAGTGACATGCTCCCCCTGGTTACGAGAAAAAATCAGGATATCATCCAGGTAAACGAAGACAAACTTGTTTAGCATATCCCGGAGCAGGTCGTTGACCAAAGTTTGGAAGACGGCCGGGCGTTGGTCAAACCAAAGGGCATCACCAGATATTCATAATGTCCAGTTGGTGTGTTGAAGGCCGTCTTCCACTCATCTCCCTCCCGGATGCGAACCAGATGATAAGCATTCCTCAAGTCGAGCTTGGAGAACACTGTTGCCCCCTGCAGCAGTTCAAAGGCTGTGGAGAGGAGTGGGAGGGGGTAGCGGTTCTTAACTGTAATGTCATTAAGTCCACGATAGTCTATACAGGGCCGCAGAGACTTGTCCTTCTTATCCACAAAGAAAAACCCTGCACCAGCAGGTGAAGAGGAAGGACGGATGATCCCTGCCGCTAAGGAGTCTTGTATGTACTCCTCCATGGCCTTTCTCTCAGGAGCAGAGAGAGAGTACAAGCGTCCTTTGGGAGGCAAAGTGCCCGGGAGGAGGTCTATGGCACAGTCATAGGGGCGGTGAGGTGGCAGAGAGGTGGCCTTAGCTTTATTGAACACCTCTCTCAGGTCATGATAAGCTGCTGGAACTCCGATGAGATCTGGGGCTGGAGCAGGAACAGGAGAAGCAGATGACAGCGATGGTATCCTGAGGCAGGTCCGCTGGCAGGTCTCTCCCCACTTCTGGATGGAACAGGTAGTCCAATCAATGTTGGGGTTGTGCCTGCGAAGCCAGGGATACCCCAGGATGACAGGCTGGCTTGGTGTAGACAGGAGCAGGAACTGGATGGTCTCACTGTGGCCCCCGGCAGGAGCATGCGCACAGGGTTGGTTTGTGATGTAACCCTCCCCAGCACATGTCCATCCAGGGCGCTGGCTGAGATGGGCAATGACAGTTTCTCTGGGCGGAGACCAAGCCGGAGAGCGAGGGCCTGGTCCATAATGCTCTCGTCAGCCCCTGAATCGACGAGGACGGCGATGGAGTGGGAGCCAGAAGGCAGCAGGAACTCACCAGTGAGGCTGGGCCTTTTAGGGGAGGCAGGACCAAGGATGGAGCTCACCAGTATGCCTCCGTTCACTGGTGAGCTCTGGCTTTTACTGGACACCGGCTGACAAAGTGTCCTGGCTGGCCGCAGTACAGACAAAGGTTCAGTCTCTGCCTTCTCTCCCTCTCTTCAAGTGAGAGGCGGGTGTGACCCAGCTGCATAGGCTCAGGATCCTCCACACTTACAGGAGCGGTTGAGGCTAACGAGGAGGAGGCAGGAGTTACGGGAGACTTGGAATGAAGGGAGCTGTGTGGCCGGGCAGAACGTGACTGGAACTCAGAGCGTCTCTCCCTCCTGCGAGCCTGGATGCGCAGGTCGAGACGGGTGGCGAGCTCAATTAGACCCTCCAGGGTAGACGGCAGTTCATAAGCTACAAGTTCATCTTTCATGTACCCAGCCAGCCCCCGCATAAAGACATCACGGAGAGCGGCCGGGTTCCAGTCACACATGGGGGCCTTGGTGCGGAAGTCTATGGCAAAATCCGTGACTGAGCGGCTCCCCTGGACCAGATCCAACAACTCTCGTCCAGCGTCGGCCCCCAGAGATCCGGTTCCGAAGACCCTCCTGAGCTCGTGGCAAAGGACTGGAAAGAGTGGCAGGCAGAGGTCCCCCCTCAGCCACTCAGCGGTGCCCCAAAGACGCGCCCGCCCAGTGAGATGGTTAATAGTATAAGCCACCCTGGCTTCCTCGGAGGAAAAGGTGAGCGGCTGCAGGGAAAAGATGATGGAGCAGTTGCAGAGAAAGGCGTTACAGGTGACAGGATCGCCATCATAACGCTCAGGTGCTCCCACATTAGGTTCACGGGGCGAAGGGAGAGGAGCACCAACTCCTGCTGAGACAGGTGGCGGAGCAGCAGCGCTTGCCGAAGCCGGTGAAGAAGATCCGGCCTCCAGCGAAGCCGGTGATTGCTCCAGAGCCTGGGTGCGGGTGTGGATGTTCGCCATTTCATCCCGCACCTGTGCCAGGCCCCGCCGATTCTCTGAGGCAGAGGCAGCAATCAGCTGATTTAACATGTCCTCCATCCGAGAAATCCGGTCGTCAATCTGGGCTGGGTCCATTTTTGGCCAGATTGTACTGTAATGGGCGTGAGATTGGACCCAAGAACAGCACAGACTGAGACCAGCGTTGGCAAAGTTCGACAGTTTATTGACCAAGCAGGGTCGTGAAATCCACAGCAAGTACACAGGAACAATCCACAAAGCAAAACAGTCTGACTCTCTAGTTGAGATCTCCAGGGAGGGAATCCAACCAAACTGGAGACAGACGAGGGGTGAGCAGGCAGAGGGGTCAGGGACAGAAGGGCAGTTCAGGTTACCTGGGCAGGGACGACGAGGACGGGTCAAGGACAAGTAGGGTCGAAACCAAGGAAGCAATCCGGAAAATACTGCGAGAGAGCTTTGCATGCTGCTAAAGACAATCTGGCAGAGACTGAGTGAACAGAGTGGGTTTAAACCAGGTGAGGGAACACAGGTGAAGGTGGTTGCACTGATGAGGTGAGAGTGGCAGGCAGGTGAACAGGAAAAGTACTGGCAGAACTGGCAGTAGGACGGAAAGCCAGGAACGGATCATGAC